ACTTCGTGAGTTGTAGCCTCTTCGGAGCATTGAGAGTACATTAGATCTTGGTTGATAGCATCAAAATCTTGTAATAACATTTCATTATTGATTACAGGAGAAAACTCATCCTTTGCTGGTGATTTTTTCATCTCTTGAGTTTTCACATAAAATCTTATGCTCTTGTGTTTTGATTGCTTCTCATATTGTCACTATATTTCTTTTATTTTTGACAAATCATTTGAATTATGGCTTTAAACAATTTTTGTGGGTTATTTGAGTTTAGGGATTTTTATTTTTTTTTTTAGTTTAGGGATTTCTTGTTAAAGGTTTGGGAAGAGGTACTAGAAAACTGAGGAGATGAAGAGGTGGTATGAAATATTTTTGGAGAATATGAGGCTTTCTTTTACTCTTGGTGTCAATGGTGGTTTCTTCTTTTCTTTGGAATTTAATCATTTTGTGGATCTTCATTTTTGTGAAGATATGTGTTTTTTGCGGTATATCATTAGTCATGTGAGCTACTCTTGACCTATTTCCTTGTAGAGACTTTTTATTTTTTGGCCTCTTAGAACATTAATTTGTAAATATCTATCTAGCTACAATACTGATGTGTATAACTTTAATGAATGGAATATAATTTTATCTTTCCTACTCAATTATTAGAGAAAACGAACTGTTGGTGTATGTACAGCTAAATCTGCAATTTTTATCTTAAGATTGATGGAGACATTTGAAATAAAATAATTGTTTGTCAATATATGGAATAAAGGTTAAGTTTAATTCGTAAGAGTGTAATTAAACTCCATGAAAAAGTAAAAAACAAAAGAAAGAAGAAGAATGAATATGTGGTGAGAAATAAGATCTAAGGCAAGTGATTGACACATTTTCTTTAAGATAAAATTGCCCACGAAATGGGGCTAACAGATTGTGGCACTTGTCCCCTCAAGACACAACGGATTCAACTTGTGGTAAAAGCACTTCAAACTACAAGCAACAGCGAACTTGAACAAAATACTTCTCTCTACAAGAAAAATTATTTTAGAATGATTTTGGTGAGGTTTTTGCAAGAGTTTTTATACAATGCTCAATGCAAATGATATGAAATACTTAATGAACGTCCAAAGGTCCTATTTATAGAAGGGGGGGAGGATTGTGAGTAAAATAACATGTCCCAAACTCCATAACCTTATTAAGGGAATCATCTCTTCCTGTCGCTAACCTCTTGCTTGAGTGCCAGCACCATATTTTTAACGAAAAATTTTTGCCAGCCTATCACTCGAGCAAGAGTCCCATCTCTCGAGCACTAGGCGATGATGAAGTTAGCCAAATTTCTTGTCAAGTTTTCCTCTTTTCTTTCCAACGTTGGACCATAATTTTTCATTTATCCATAATTGATTTTAAGATTTCAAATACCACGATGAGTAAAACAAGTTAGTAAATTTACATTTATAATTTGACTATTGGATCTAGTCCAAATATTTGGTCGAAAGTAACACAAAATCACTTTCCACATTTTATACTTAACCAAAATAATTTTAAACCAAATTCCGATAGTAACAACACTTCATTATTGATTATAGTGAAAAACTCCTCTTTGCCAATGATTTTTTTCTCTCTTAAGTTTCCACATAAAATATTGTGTTCTTGTGTTGTGATTTCTTTTCATAGCCATATTATTCCGTTTATTTTTGACAACTCATTTGAATTATGGCTTTAAACACTTTTTTATGGGTTATTTGAGCTTAGGGATTTCTTGTTAAAGGTCTAGGAAGAGGTACTAGAAAACTGAGGAGACGAAGAAGAGGTATGAAATATTTTTGAAGAATATTAGGATGATCAGATTGCATAACAATAAGGGGCTTTCTTACACTCTTGGTGTCAATGGTGATTTCTTTTTTCCTTTGGAATTTAATCATTTTGTAGATCCTCATTTGTGAAGATATGTGTTTTTTGTTGTATATCAATAGTAATTTGAGCTAGTCTTGACCCATTTCCTTGTAGACATTTTATTTTTTGGCCTTTTAGAACATTAAATTGTAAATATCTATCTAGCTACAGTACTAATGTGTATGACCTTAATGAATGGGCAATAATTTTATCTTTCCTACTCAATTATTTGAGAAGTTGCTAAATCTGCAATTGATTGGAAAGAGGGAAAGTGGACTATTGGTGTGTGTAGCTCTATGTATTTGTTTGAGTGTTATTTAAATTGCTCAACTTAGTGTTTAGGTGAGTGATTTCACTTTAACCTTTTAATTTAAGAATTCCAACTTGTTCTACAAATGAATCTTCAATATTGCATGTTTTAGAATAGAAGTATGAATATGTTTGCGAAGGAAGTAGATATCCTGAACTTCATTTTACAGCTTGCAATTTGCAAATGAATTTACTTTTCTTACTTGAGTATGTATATGGATGTTCCCTTTTGGCTCACATATTACGCCTAATCGATTGTATTACTCTAACTGGACTACCTGTGCATCCATACTTACATGAACTACATCCATGATAACAAATTTGCTTCTTCTACTACTTTATGGTAGAGCACTTAGTTTTTCAATTAATGAAAGACAATAAGGTGGCTTCTAAGCGGTCTTCGAATCTTAGTTTCAACGTCACTTGTTGACAAGTCTTACACTGATACACTAGTAAACAGAGTTCGCTGATTTGACATGGGACGAGTTCTGTAGGCATAAGAGCTTCTCGAAACTACTATACGACCATGAGGTAATCATAGGCTTACTGATGTTCTCCTTCCTAAAACGGTACTTGTAGTCTCTCTGCCTTTGTTATTGATTTCAATATTATGTTGAGAATTTTTTTGTTGTGATACGGTTTATTGTTCACTCTTTGTAATCTCCATACTCTATAAACTGTGAAAAATTTCATGATAATTTAATATAAGTTGGCAATTTTTCGACTGTATTCATTTTGAATGACCGAGAAAGTTTACTTTTTTTGCTTTGTGCTCTTTTCAGATAGGTATAGGACCATGAGTGTTAAGATTTAGGGTTCCATCTTTAAAGGTCGACATTATTAAGAGGGAGCCCAAAACCTTATAAGTTGGTCTATATTTACATCTTGATTTGATGTGGGATATTTTATCCCTTAACATGTCCGTACAAGATGATGACTTGTTTGAGCAGACCAATTTTAAAATTCATGTGCTCATTTTTAGAGTCTTAACTGGATCGAATTGCTCGTTGGAGTTTAATGAGCTCTGACACCATGTTATGACTTGGGGCTCCATCTTAAAAGGTCAACCTTGTTAAGAAAAGTAGCTCAAGACCTTATAAGTTTGTCTATATTTACATTTTTATTTGACGTGGGACATATTATCCCTTTACAATGTGATGCACCAATCTTTGTTAGACATGATTGATTCATTGATTGTGTAACTTCAAGCTTTATGAAAATTTAGACTTGTGGCTTACAACTAGATGACAACAAATTGACTTTCTTTTCTTCTTTTTAGTTGTTGAATTTTATCATAACCGTCTAGTACACAAAAGTTCGACCAGTGAAAGTTTCTTCAAAGTCTTCACCATTTCAGACGCCCTCGTACTTTTTTTCTCTATCACTTTGGTCTGTCCTTCTTATCCATTTACACATCCCGCTATAAAGTTTGTGACTATCTTGTTGCCTTGCCCATCAGAGTGATTGTCGGTCTAATTTCCTTGTTCTTCTCTCTCATATGTTTAGTGATAGCCTTTAGTTGTACGTTATTCCTTGTCTTTGCTAAAAAAAAAAATGTCCTACTTCTCACACCAATAATCACACTCTCTTGCATACCTGTGATCTTGTATGTCATACTTCAGCTTCTTCCCTCATTACTATGATTAGATCCACATTTTATTCGGACATTACCCATTGGTAAATATTTCATTGGAATGTACATTGTACTCTGAAGAAATTAAACTAAGGATTTAGTATTGTTACGAGTCATCAAAACTCGTTGATTTTGTGTCTATGTTTTAATTTGGTCGTTCAATTTGATGAGTCTGCGAGGTTGTGTAGTTTGATGAGTCTGTTATAATTCATGTTGTAATTTGGCTTCTAAGCGGTCTTCGAATCTTAGTTTCAACGTCACTTGTTGACAAGTCTTACACTGATACACTGGTAAACAAAGTTCACTGATTTGACATGGGACGAGTTCTGTAGGCATAGGAGCTTCTCGAAACTACTATACTACCATAAGGTAATCATAGGCTTACAGATGTTCTCCTTCCTGAAACGGTACTTGTAGTCTCTCTGCCTTTGTTATCGATTTTAATATTATCTTGAGAATTTTTTTGTTGTGATACGGTTTATTGTTCACTCTTTGTAATCTCCATACTTTATAAACTGTGAAAATTTTCATGATAATTTAATATAAGTTGGCAATTTTTCGACTGTATTCATTTTGAATGATCGAGAAAGTTTACTTTTTGTGCTTTGTACTCTTTTCAAATAGGTATAGGACCATGAGTGTTAAAAATTTGGAGTTCTATCTTAAAATGTCAACATTGTTAAGAGGGTAGCTCAAAACCTTATAAGTTGGTCTTTATTTACATCTTTATGTGATGTGGGACATTTTATCCCTTAACATGTCCATACAAGATGGTGACTTGTTTGAGTAGATCAATCTTAAAATTCGTGTGCTCATTTTTAGAGTCTTAACTGGATCGAATTGTTCGTTGAAATTTAATGAATTCTGATACCATATTAGGACTTGAGGCTCCATCTTAAAAGATCAACCTTCTTAAAAAGAATAATTCAAGACCTTATAAGTTAGTCTATATTTACATTTTTATTTGATGTGGGACATTTTATCCCTTAACAATTAGATGCAACAATCTTTGTTAGGCATGATTGACTCATTGATTGTGTAACTTCAAGCTTTATGAAAATTTAGACTTGTGGCTTACAAATAGATGACAATAAATTGACTTTCTTTTCTTCTTTTTAGTTGTTGAATTTTATCATATCCGTCTAGTACACAAAAGTTCGACCATGAATACCTACGAAATTAAGAAAGTCAATCTAGTAACAACTAAAACTGGTTAAATATAAAATACATTGTCATTCTTATTTTGTCAACTGACTCAATCACCTTCCAAACACTCTCATCAAACGACACAACCAAATTACAACATGGATTATAACAGACTCATCAAGCTACACAACCACGCAGACTCATCAAATTGAACAACCAAATTAAAACAGACAAAAAATCAACAAGTTTTGATGACTCGTAACAATACTAAATCCTTAGTTTAATTTCTTCAGAGTACAACGTACATTCCAATGAAATATTTACCAATGAGTAATGTCCGAATAAAATGTGGATCTGATCATAGTAACGAGGGAAGGAAGCTGAAGTATGACATACAAGACCACAGGTATGCAAGAGAGTGTGATTATTGGTGTGAGAAGCAGGACATTTTTTTTAGCAAATACAAGGAATAACGTACAACTAAAGGCCATCACTAAACATATGAGAGAGAAGAACAAAGAAATTAGACCGACAATCACTCTGATGGGCAAGTCAAAAAGATAGTCACGAACTTTATAGCGGGAGGTGTAAATGGATAAGAAGGACAGAACACTAGTGATAGAGAAAAAAAGTGCAAGGGCGTCTGAAATGGCGAAGACTTTGAAGAAACCTTCATTGGAGAAATTGGGTATGCCAGTAGAATGGTTTCCTCCGGGTACTTGGAATGCGGCAGCAAACGCCACTGTGGCAATGAGTGATGCTGCAACTGAGCTTGCATTTGCCATTCCTGTCATCCATTCTTTGTCTTTTGCAGCCATGTCAGCGTGATGTTCTTCAAAGCTGACAAGTGGTATCTCGGGAAGATCGAGCTCTGGATTTTCCTTCTTAGGAGATTTTTTAAACTTTACGAGCTCGGTCACTTTCTGCATCAATCGGGAAATTTGGTCCAAGATCAATTTTCGTATTCAATGAGGGTGCAAAACGGAAAAACTGGTCAGTGATTTATAACCTGAAACGGTTAAGAGAGAATGTTTTGTACCAGTTTCAAAAAAAGATTCGTTTTTTAAGTGCTACATTATTCCAGTGAATGCAGTATGTAGATGAAGGTAACAACGTTTCCTATAATTTCAATTAGAAATCCATTCTCAAACATTTTTTTCCTGGAGTTCACTACTTTCAAATTCGAGTGGAGGCAAAAACAGGCAATTCTTTTTAGGCCTGAGCTTAAACAGAAGGCACGTAAGAATATTAATATTACCATAAACCACTGAAGTTCACGCTGCATTTTAAAAACAACTCCGGAGTCGGTACCAATTCCAGCTTGATGCCCTGCTTCTTCCACAAAATCCAATACGCTCTTTTCCTTTTCATTAAGCATTCGAAGGTACTGCCCATTCCGTATATTCTTCTCATACAACATCTTAAAAATTTTTACATGACGGTACATTACAGCAACATGAAATGCTGTCCAGTGCCTGCCTTCATTCTTTATTGCAGTAGGATAAGAATCTATAATTGTACGGACAATCTCTTCTATTCCATTCTGTGCTCCAAGAAGAAATGTCTTCTCCAATGGGTAACCAGTCTCGTCAGCAATTTTGCACAAGGATTCGAACAGTTGAAGTGCACATTGATGCTTCCATTTTAGTGCAGGAATGTCCTCTATATTTAGCACTGCATTTGCAACAAAACCAGCCAATTACTTCACGACTAAATAATCTCATCCGTTTCTAGGTTAAGTGACTGCATACGGATATTCTTACTTGGAACTTGTGCAAGCACATTCCAGAACTTCGCCTTGTATACTGCAAAACAAAATAAAACCAACCTTTTGTGAAGACCTTGATTTAAACATGGAGTGGTGTCGAGAAGGAGGAATTTCATACCTGCATATGTTGAATGCTTTGTCCTCGAAATATGCTTCGAGGGAATAGCTGCAGTACAAACAATTGATTAAAATCCATTATAGTGGTATATTTTTATTTATTCCAAAGAAAAAACTTGTTTCTTTTTGGTCCCTGGGCTCTGAAACAAAACTATAATTAATACTAATCACGCAAAAAAGGCTGTCAGCCGACCCAACCTATAGCCTTTAGAAGTAGTTTGATTTTAAATACAGGTAATAATCCCCATAAACCTTGCTCAACGTCCCTGAAATGCTGAAAATATGTGAATCAAAGCACCAGAATTGTGAATATTTGTGCCTGACAAACAATGGACAGCTACTTGAAATTGAATTGTAGAGAGGAAAGAAAACTAACATGAATACGAATAGATTAAGGACTCCCAAAAATTCAAGCGACATGAACTTTTGAAACCACCCGGGTCACTGGCCATCTTCTCCAAAATATCCAATTCCAAATCTCTGATCCGATCTCCTTTCTCGTCCTCCTTGTATTTGAATAAATCAAGAGCCAAATCTAAATTTCAGCAAAAAAAAAAAAACATTAATGATTTTTATCTCAGAATTTTCAAGATTATTTTCCCGTATAATTAAAATGACCTCCCATATGTTTTGATATTTTAGATGAACTGTAGAAGTAGGAAGAACAGGTACTAGACTTGATCTCACCATAAAATCCAGCTGTTACTAAAGAAAGCATAACCCTGGGAAAATTTTTGCGTAGCTCGGAAGAAGTTTCATCTTCCTTGCTGACTTCAAACAAGTAAGAAGTCATTTTGTAAGCATTTGCTGGTTCTCGCCTCGCAGCTAACTGAATTGGCAAAAATTTATCCCTGTTTGGATATTTCAGCAGTTCTTTTTTTGCTCCCACAATTTTTTTGGCTTCTTCAACACGTCCAATATTTGCTGCTAAGTGAAGCGCTGTATTCCCAAAGTCGTCGGTCTCAGCCAGTGATTCTGCCAGATGTTCTGCTGTAATCTTTTTCACCAGCCTGATGACTAACCACCATTTTCTTTCATTGATGGCACAGAGGAGCAGTTTATCTCCATTTTTATTTAGCTTGGCTTTGAATGCTTCATCTGGATGGTCGTGGATCATTCGATCGATAATCTCCCACTTGCCGTCTTTTAATGCTTGGTACAGATGTTTTTTCCAATGATAATAATATGCATGGCAATCCGTATCAACTGCTTTCATATTAAGAAATGAAGGAAAATGTCAGCGTATACATATCTTTTAGATAAGATTGGTATTCAGTTTATAAATGTGAGGGAAGGTCTCAAATTTTGAGTTAGCTTTTGGAGTGAGAGAGATCTAATCACGCCCAACTCTGGCATCAGAGTCATGTTTATCAACAAGTCTCTGGCCCAACAATCGTCTCCGACCCAACTCTCACAGAGATAAGGGTTTATGTGAGAGGGAGACGGATTCGGTCTCCTACAGGCCCTCTGTGTGAAGGTGAGACAGATTTGGTCTCTCTCAGGGCCCGATGTATGGGGGTAGATGTGTTTGGTTTCCCACAAAGCTCGATGTGTGAGGGAGAGCTTGTTGAGGTTGTCCCACATCGGTTGTGGATGAGATTGGTATTCAGTTTATATGGTGACATGTCTAGGGAAGTCTTAAAAGCAGTACAGTAAGTTCAAAGTGCATCACTTAATCTTAAAGATCAATCTTTACGATTAGGATTCACCGTTTTTTCCAAAATTTGTTTAATTTCCCTATTAGCCAATTCTACCTGTCCACTAGTTTGGGGGTGGTAAGCAGTAGAGATTTTATGAATAACTCCATATTTTTTCATTAGTGCTTCGAATGAACGGTTGCAAAAATGTGTGTCTCTGTCCTTTCCTGAAGAAAACTCATGCAGAGGTTGCAAAAATCGGATGTAATAAATAAAATTAAAATTAAAAAAGAAGCTCGTGACTTCTCCGTTACTCACTTCTAACATCCGTTCCCTGTGAAGTCGACGCCATCTTCTTCATAATTGATCTCCTAACTCTGTGTTCAGAGTGTATTTGCAATAATCTCTAAAACTAGCCCTCCTTTTAATATATAGACTACACTTGCATTTGACTCTACTATATTATTGGTGGCAGCTTTACAAATTTGTTGGTGGAAACTTAAAGTTTCCATTAATTTGGAGAGGGTCCCTTTTTCCTTTATTCTTTGTTCTTTATTTTTTGAATGATGATTATAATGCAAAAAATAAATGATAACTAACATCTTAACAATCAAAGCTGCGATGTTTATCAACTAAGAATGAGGCTAGCACATATTTTACTTTAATTCTACTTGATGCGTGTTTTTAATTTACTCAAGCACTACATTCATCTCCGTTAGCTGAATTAGTAAAAAATTCGATGTGAATCATAATATATCTCACGTGAAAATTATGTACTATTTAAAGTGTCATATTGTTTTGTGACACAAACTCAATTACGTTTTAAATGAATGTTTGGCCAGGCACTAAAAAAGAATAATACTAGTTTCATTGGTATTAAGCACATGTTTATGAAGTAATGGAGATCATTGTTATATTTTTCAATCGGTAAAAGTGTATTTTTATTTTAATGGATACAACAATCTCATAGTCACGCGGACCAGTGTAACATCATTGGGCCAATACCACACTACTGTGTAAAAAGTTGCTGATCTTTTTATTAAAAATGAGTTAATCTAATAGTAATCCATACTTTATTGACATAATTGTTGAGGTTGTACCATATCGGTTGTAGATAAGATTGGTATTCAGTTTATAAATGTGAGGGAAGGTCTCAAATTTTGAGTTAGCTTTTGGAGTGAGAGAGATCTAATCACGCCCAACTCTGGCATCAGAGTCATGTTTATCAACAAGTCTCTGGCCCAACAATCGTCTCCGACCCAACTCTCACAGAGATAAGGGTTTATGTGAGAGGGAGACGGATTCGGTCTCCTACAGGCCCTCTGTGTGAAGGTGAGACAGATTTGGTCTCTCTCAGGGCCCGATGTATGGGGGTAGATGTGTTTGGTTTCCCACAAAGCTCGATGTGTGAGGGAGAGCTTGTTGAGGTTGTCCCACATCGGTTGTGGATGAGATTGGTATTCAGTTTATATGGTGACATGTCTAGGGAAGTCTTAAAAGCAGTACAGTAAGTTCAAAGTGCATCACTTAATCTTAAAGATCAATCTTTACGATTAGGATTCACCGTTTTTTCCAAAATTTGTTTAATTTCCCTATTAGCCAATTCTACCTGTCCACTAGTTTGGGGGTGGTAAGCAGTAGAGATTTTATGAATAACTCCATATTTTTTCATTAGTGCTTCGAATGAACGGTTGCAAAAATGTGTGTCTCTGTCCTTTCCTGAAGAAAACTCATGCAGAGGTTGCAAAAATCGGATGTAATAAATAAAATTAAAATTAAAAAAGAAGCTCGTGACTTCTCCGTTACTCACTTCTAACATCCGTTCCCTGTGAAGTCGACGCCATCTTCTTCATAATTGATCTCCTAACTCTGTGTTCAGAGTGTATTTGCAATAATCTCTAAAACTAGCCCTCCTTTTAATATATAGACTACACTTGCATTTGACTCTACTATATTATTGGTGGCAGCTTTACAAATTTGTTGGTGGAAACTTAAAGTTTCCATTAATTTGGAGAGGGTCCCTTTTTCCTTTATTCTTTGTTCTTTATTTTTTGAATGATGATTATAATGCAAAAAATAAATGATAACTAACATCTTAACAATCAAAGCTGCGATGTTTATCAACTAAGAATGAGGCTAGCACATATTTTACTTTAATTCTACTTGATGCGTGTTTTTAATTTACTCAAGCACTACATTCATCTCCGTTAGCTAAATTAGTAAAAGATTCGATGTGAATCATAATATATCTCACGTGAAAATTATGTACTATTTAAAGTGTCATATTGTTTTGTGACACAAACTCAATTACGTTTTAAATGAATGTTTGGCCAGGCACTAAAAAAGAATAATACTAGTTTCATTGGTATTAAGCACATGTTTATGAAGTAATGGAGATCATTGTTATATTTTTCAATCGGTAAAAGTGTATTTTTATTTTAATGGATACAACAATCTCATAGTCACGCGGACCAGTGTAACATCATTGGGCCAATACCACACTACTGTGTAAAAAGTTGCTGATCTTTTTATTAAAAATGAGTTAATCTAATAGTAATCCATACTTTATTGACATAATTGTTGAGGTTGTACCATTTCGGTTGTAGATAAGATTGGTATTCAGTTTATAAATGTGAGGGAAGGCCTCAAATTTTGAGTTAGCTTTTGGAGTGAGGGAGATCTAATCACGCCCAACTCTGGTATCAGAGTCATGTTTATCAACACGTCTCTGGCCCAACAATCGCCTTCGGCCCAACTCTCACAGAGATAAGAGTTTATGTGAGAGGGAGACGGATTCGGTCTCCTACAGGCCCTCTGTGTGAAGGTGAGACAGATTTGGTATCTCTCAGGGCCCGATGTATGGGGGAAGATGTGTTTGGTTTCCCACAAAGCTCGATGTGTGAGGGAGAGCTTGTTGAGGTTGTCCCACATCGGTTGTGGATGAGATTGGTATTCAGTTTATATGGTGACATGACTAGGGAAGTCTTAAAAGCAGTACAGTAAGTCCAAAGTGCATCACTTAATCTTAAAGATCAATCTTTACGATTAGGATTCACCGTTTTTTCCAAAATTTGTTTAATTTCCCTATTAGCCAATTCTACCTGTCCACTAGTTTGGGGGTGGTAAGCAGTAGAGATTTTATGAATAACTCCATATTTTTTCATTAGTGCTTCGAATGAATGGTTGCAAAAGTGTTTGCCTCTGTCACTAATAATGACACGTGGTGTACCAAACCTAGACAAGACATTTTCTTTGAGGAATTTAATAACCGTTTTATTGTCATTAGCTCTACAGGCGACCGCCTCTACCCATTTAGACACATAATCCACCGTCGCAATAATGTATAGATAACCAAAAGAAGGTGGAAAGGGGCCCATAAAGTCAATCCCCCAACAATCAAACACTTTTATCACTAAAATGGGGTTTAAAGGCATCATATTACGTCGAGACACGGCACCTAATTTTTGACATCTTTCACAGGTTCTACAATAGGTATTAGTGTCTTTGAACAAGGTAGGCCAATAAAAGCCACATTGTAGAATTTTTGCAGCAGTCTTTTTTATAGAGAAGTGGCCACCACATGCTTGAGTATGACAGAAACTAAGTATGCTAGGTATTTCTTCATTGGGGACACAACGTCTTAAGATGTGGTTGGGGCAGTACTTAAACAAACATGGGTCATCCCAATAAAAATTACGTACCTGAACCAAAAACTTCCTCTTATCCTTTGTACTCCACTCCTTTGGGATTTCACCTGTAGCCAAGTAGTTCACAATGTGAGCAAACCATGGTAAAGAAGAGACAAAAAGTAAATTTTCATCTGGGAATTCATTTCTTATTGGCAAGGTGTTTGTAGTGTCTTCAAAGGTTAGCCTTGATAAGTGGTCTGCTACGACATTCTCCACTCCTTTCTTGTCCTTAATGGTGATGTCAAATTCCTGCAAAAGTAATATCCACCGTATTAATCACGCCTTAGTATCCTTCTTTGCAAGAAGGTACTTAAGGGCTGCATGATCTGTGAAAATTGTAATGGGAGAACCTATTAAATAGGATCTAAACTTGTCGAGTGCAAAGACCACAGCTAGTAGCTCTTTTTCAGTTGTGGAATAGTTCATCTGAGCAATGTTAAGAGTTCTACTAGCGTAGTAAATGACAAAAGGCTTACCCTCTCTTCGTTGTCCCAGTACAGCACTAACCGCATAATCACTAGCATCACACATAATTTCAAACGGTAGGGACCAATCAGGTGGTTGCATGATCGGTGCAAAAGTGAGCTTGTTAATCAGTGTTTTAAATGCCTCTTGGCATTCTGGGGTCCATTCAAAATTGGCTTCTTTACTTAGAAGGTTACACAAGGGTCTGGATATGGATGAAAAGTTTAGTATAAACCTCCTATAAAAACTTGCGTGACCTAGAAATGATCTTATGTCTTTGACGGTTTTAGGTGTAGGCAATTTGGAGATCAGTTCAATTTTTTATTTGTAGACCTCTATTCCTTTAGAAGAAATTACATGTCCTAAGACAATTCCTGAAGGTACCATAAAATGACATTTCTCCCAATTCAAAACTAATCCTTTTTCCACACACTGGGTCAAGACTCTCTTCAAGTTAAATAGGCATGCATCAAACGAGACTCCAAACACTGTCAAGTCATCCATGAAAACTTCCATGCACTCCTCTATCATGTCAGTAAATATGCTTATCATGCATCTTTGGAATGTGGCAGGGGCGTTACAAAGTCCAAATGACATCCTACGAAATGCATAAGTACCAAATGGGCAAGTAAATGTGGTCTTCTCTTGGTCTTCTAAGGCTATTTCAATTTGATAATAACCAGAGTAGCCATCCAGAAATTAGTAAAAAGGATGGTCAGCCACACCCTCCAGGATTTGGTCTAAAAAGGGGAGGGAAAAGTGGTCCTTATGGGTGGCAGCATTCAACTTCCTATAATCAATGCTCATGCGTCATCCAGTCACTGTTTTTGTTGGGACCATTTCACCTACTTCATTTTTTACCACTGTGACACCAGACTTTTTACGGACTACCTATGTAGGACTAACCCATTTACTATCTGCAATAGGATAAATGATACCTGCATCTAACAGTTTCAGCACTTCATTTTTCACAACTTCTTTCATTATCGAGTTTAGCCTACGCTATGGGTCTCTTTTAGGGGTGGCTCCTTCTTCTAAATGAATCCTATGTGAGCAAATTAGGGGACTAATACCCTTAATGTCAGCTATGGTCCAACCTAATGCAGATTTGTGTTCATTCAGAATGTTTAAAAGTTGCTCACATTGTAATGCATCCAATTCTGAAGAAATAATTACAGGAAAAGTATCACCTAGTCCAAGGAATTCATGTTTCAATCTTGGGGGTAGCGGTTTCAAATCTGGTTTGGGGCTCTCAATGCTTGATGGTTGCTGGCCGCCCGTCCTTCTGGCAATTCTTCAAATTTGGGTTGCCATGGTGATGTCCCATAGTCCTAAAATTTTGTAAAAATAGCACAAATGTTAGCATATTCTTCATCATTAACACTTGCTGGAATTGCAGAATTCAAAAGAAAAAGATTTAAGGGGTCAGAATTTGAAGTTTCAAGTGTCTCCTCCTGAGTGAGTGCCTCAATCATATGTGTGTGGTGGCACTCATCACCTTCCATTGGTTGCTTAGCAATGTGGAAAATGTTGACTTCTAGAGTCATATTCCTAAAAGATAATTTCATTAGACCATTCCTGCAATTTATAAGGGCGTTAGCTGTGGCGAGGAAAGGTCTATCAAGAATAATAGGAATTTTAGAATCAACATTAACATCAACCTTCACATCCAAGACTAAGAAATCAACGGGGTAGTAGAATTTATCAATTTGAACCAACACATCTTCTACTACTCCCCTAGGTCTTATAGTGGATCTATCAGCTAGTTGTAGAACCACAGAAGTGGGTTTAATTTCATCAAGACCTAATAGTAAGGATATGGAATGGGGCATGAGATTAACACTGGCTCCCAAATCAAGGAGAGCTTGTGCAAACTCATGGTTCCCGATGACACATGAAATAGTTGGATAGCCAGGGTCCTTATATTTCGATGGGATCCTTTGTTCAATCACAGCACTCACTTGTTCGGTCAAGAAGGCAGTCTTCTTGACAATGTGTTTCCTCTTCATAGTGCACAAGTCCTTAAGGACTTTCGCATATGTAGGAACTTGTGAAATTACATGCAAGAGTGGAAGATTGATTTTTACTTGCCTAAGGTGTTCCAGGATCTCACTGTGTTGATTGACTGATTTTGGGCTAAGCTTAAGGGCTTGTGGAAAAGGTACCCTCGATGGATTTCCTACTGCCTCATCACTAGGGCTACTTTATTCAGACTCACTAGGCTCCTTTTCATTTTCCCTAGGTTTTGAAATTGGTTCTATAACCTTCCCAGATCGAGTGGTGATGACATTTGCTTCCTTAAGGTTACTCTCTCTTGAATCTGAGGTTTGAGCCATATGCTGTCCCTTAGGATTAGGTTGAGCTTGTGTTGGAAATTTCCCACGTTCCCCCACAGTTAAGGCATTGGTCAATTTAGACACATGATTTTTATCTCCTTATTTTCCTCCATTACCTGGTTAATCATAGTCTCAAAATTCTGATTGGTCTTGCTTTGTGCCTCTATGAATGCATGTAGGGTATCTTCTAAAGAGTTCCTAGAGGGTGTGGGTTGATATGATGGTGCACTGTAAGTTCTATTTGATTGGGTAGTTTGTTGGTTTTCAGATTTCCAGCTGAGATTGGGATGATTGCGCCACCCTGGGTTATAAGATTCGGAGAAAGGAAAATAGGGCTTCCTATATGTGTCTAAGGCATTACAATGTTCCTCATAAAACCCTCTCATCTCAATT